AGCATACTTTCTAGTGAGAAGTAAGCATGTTTGTGACTGTTTTGTTAGCCTTAAAAGACATGATAGTATCACAGTGTAGATAATATGCATTGTATGCATGGATGCAGAGTTATGCGTGTTGATAGGCCAACGAAGATGCATCTCCCCATTTAACTCATACTAGCTGTTTTCAAGTTAGAACTGGATATGGAACAACTGATTGGTTCAAAATTGGGAAAGGAATACGGCAAGGCTGTATATTGTCTCCCTGCTTATTTAACGTACATGTAGAATACATCATGTGAAGGGCTGGACTGGATGAATCCCAAGCTGGAATGAAGATTGCCAGAAGAAATATTAACAACCTCAGATATGCAGATGATACCACTCTGATGGCAGAAAATGAGGAGGAATTAAAGAACCTCTTATGCGGGTGACAGAGGAGAGCGCAAAAAATGGTCTGAAGCTCAATATCAAAAAACCCTAATATCATAGCCACTGGTCCCCTCACCTCCTGGCAAATAGAAAGGGAAGAGATGGAGGCAATGGCAGATTTTACTTTCTTGGGCTCCATGGTCACTGCAGATGGTGACAGCAGCCACGTAATTAAAAGACGCCTGCTTCTTGGGAGGAAATCAATGACAGCATCTTAAAAAGCAGAGACCTTACCTTACTTACAAAGGCCCGCATAGTCAAAGCTATGGTTTTTCCCAGTAGCGATGTATGGAAGTGAGAGCTGGACCATAAAGAAGGCTGACCACCGAAGAACAGTGCTGGAGGAGCCTCTTGAGAATCCCCTGGACTGCAAGGAGAACAAACCTCTCCATTCTGAAGGAAATCAACTCTGAGTGCTCACTGGAAGGACAGATCCTGAAGCTGAGGCACCAATACTTTGGCCATCTCATGAGAAGAGAAGACTCCCTGGAAAAGACCCTGATGTTAGGAAAGTGTGAAGGCAAGAGGAGAAGGGGACGGCAGAGGACGAGATGGTTGGACAGTGTCATTGAAGTGGCAAACATGAATTTGACCAAACTCCGGGAGGCAGTGGAAGACAGGAGGGCCTGGCGTGCTCTGGTCCATGGGGTCACGAAGAGTCGGACACGACTTTATGACTAAACAACAACAAAACCTGGCTTCAGACATAATGCTAAGCTAAGCTTAGGGACTCTCCCTAAAATAATAAATGGGAGGACAGCCCATCATGATTTTAAGCAAAGTGACAGCAGATGCTTCAAGCTGAGATGCATCTTGGCCCCAGATAAATGAAAAACTAGATGAAACCAGAGACTGTTTTCTCCCCTATTGGAAATCTGTTTCCTAGTGGGGCTTACAGGAGCATTCTGGATCTTCTTTGCTCCATCCAGTAATAGGGGTTAGTTTAGCAGCAAGCAATCACCAGCATTTCCAACTGGCTTTGCATTGTTGCACGTTCCAAGGTCAGTCTCTGGCATGTCTGGGCAGATCTGGAAAAGGCTTCCCTTTAAGATTCCTAGCAGCTGCTGGCAGTCAGTGCAGACAGTACTGTCCTAGATAGATCAATGGTCTGAGCTGACGTAAGGAAGCTTTGTAAATCCACTTGCCTGCCATTAACATCACAGGACTGTAAAGGAATCATCAAGGACCTATTTACTTGTATGTTGTATTTAATTTTTTTAATGGAGGTGACAATCCAAAATATGTACCAGAAAGTAGAAAAAGAGAGTAGGTCTGAGGGCACTATTTAGTAAAGTGATATTTCATTAATATTCTGTTTGTGAAATTGTTTAAGACTTGCAGCTTCACAAGCTTTTGCTAAAAGGATTTTTTAAATATAAGATATACATGTAAGGAAGAATCACTGGCTTAAACACATTTTAAAATGTGAAATATTTTCAGCATTCATTTCACCTTGCAGTATGAGACTTTTGTAAGCAGTGGCTTTGTACTAATGCTAGGCCAGTTGAATTAGGGCTTGTACATTTCCAGAGTTACCATTATATATACAGAGAAGCAAATCCTTTATGTGGTACAGTATCTGTGTATATCAGTAGTTCCCAACCTCTGGTCCCCAGATGTTCTTGGACTAAAACTCCTAGAAGCCTTCATTACTAGCTGTGTTGGCCAGGATTTCTGGGAGTTTTAGTCCAAGGATATCGGGATCAGGGATATAGATGGATCAGGGCAATCTCAGTGCTATCAGGCACCTTTGGGGAGAGATCAGTGAACATAAATATCTTGCTATCTCATTACTATAAGTCATCCAGATGTTCTTTCTGTATTCAGCATGCAACCAAAATCATCCAGAGATGTCTATAAATACAGGCAATAGGACTATATATTTTATCTTTCATTTCTATAGCTCTTACTACAGATTCCAGCCAGTTCTGTAAGATGAAAAATATGTACTGTACATAGAAGAAATGTTCCCTTAATTGGAATTGCTGTTGTTTTTTTCTTTATGTTCATTTAGAAACTTTGTCTACTGGTACAAAATATAGTGAGTGTGACTTCTTGTCTTTGTTTTCTGTTTGATAGGTCAAATACAAACGAGATTTTGAAGAAAGCAAAGGAAGAGGTTTCAGCATTGTGACTGATACACCAGAACTGCAAAGACTGAAAAGGACTCAGGAGCAAATCAGTAATGTATGTGACAATTGCAGTAGATCACAGAAATGGCACAGAAGTAAAAAGGCGTGGATGGAGCTGTATGATTGTTTCTGTCTTAAGTTTGTATGAATGCAGAAATTGGGTTATTTGGTGGTGGAGTTTGAACTTCTTTTGCTCTTAAAGTAGCACATGGGTTGTGTGTGTGTGTGTGTGTGTGTGTGTGTGTGTGTGTGTGTGTGTGTGTGTGTGTGTGTGTGTGTGTGTGTGTGTATACCCTCTCCAAATCAATTAAAACCAGACATATTGTTAAAACAATCCTACGCTAAAAGCATTTATTTCATTCAAACACGAACTGCTTAGGTTTCATTTGAATAATGTTATGTAGTGGATATTGTTTGATAAATAAGGCAAGGTAGCAATTACAGAATAATTTTCCAAATAATGGCAGTGTCTCAAATTATGTTTCTCAGAAGAAAATTTGGTTTGGATCCAAAGAACAACACTTGGAACAACATTTCCGTTTTTCGCTAGAGATTCATTCAAGTACAAAATGTTGGCCCAAGAAACAGACATAGCTTAGAGGTTTCCAATACCAGAACTGGAGCTGGCACATAAATTATTTTATACATAGATCTACACTTCATTTTCCAAAATGCTTTTTCCTTTCTTTGATTTTTATCTCACCCAACTACTGTGTTTGCCTGAAAATAAGACAGGGTCTTATATTAATTTTTGTTCCAAAAACACATTAGGGCTTATTTTCAAGGGATGGTTAATTTTTTTTCATGTACAGCAATCTACATTTATTCAAATATAGTCATGTCATCTTCTGGTTGCTGCACAATGGTGGAGAGTGGGCTTTCAATTAACTGGGGCTCATTTTTGGGTAGGACTTATATTACAAGCATCCTGAAAAATCATACAGGTTAGGTCTTATTTTCGGGAAAACAGGCTAGTAGCAGAGCCACTACTCTGGGTGGCTAATACAGCAACATCAAAATAACACAACAATAGGAAAAGAAACAACCAAAAAATTAAAAATTAAAACATCTTTGTAAGTCATAGGCCCTTTCTACCATCCATGAACATAATAAAAGACATTTTGACAGATAGTCCATATTACTTTTATATTATAGAATTTCTGTCTGTTTGCAGAGCATTTATAAAAGACCTGAAAACAATCAATTTTGATTTTTATCCAGATGGCATGCAATTTTATTTCTTCGATATATCTATATGTCTTCCAAAATGCATTCTTGGTTGTCCAGAATGCATAGCAATCTTGTAAGCATACTTCTGTATTAAAGAAACGGGTGTTCCTTTTGCATTTAAACTATATGGTAATAACCTTTCAAGAAAAATTTTTTTGGAAGGAGTATCTCGAATCCATTAATAATTTAAGAAGATGAGATTGTGCAAGATGGTCCTTCTGAACATCTGGATAGTCATATTAACACTTACGCAGAAGGAATTCATATTGGTTACTAAGATTGTTGTACTAGCTACAACAATGCTAAAATAGCCTACCTGCTTTGTTTTATGGTACAGATTTTTGACTGGGACAATGAAGATGTTGATTGTTCTTCTTTTGCAGCTAGACTACGTGTATCTAACCATGTTTGGAATATAAGAAATATATGCAGTAACAGTTGTGTATTGGTTAGAACATTTGTTCCTTTTCCCTTCTCATTCGTAAATTTCCCCTCTTATCTCTTTTTGGAACTAATCATGGTGCAGTGTTCTGTTTGCACTGAGTTTAATATCCATTGTGGTTTAGAATTCTATGTCTGTAGTAGTCCTATGTTTTCTCCTACCCATGAAAATATTCATGAAATGTGAAAGGTAAGCTATGACAAATGTCCAAACCGGAATGGCCATTTGTCATGAAGATTTTGTACTTTGCCAAAATTTACTTAATATTAAAGACTTGATTTTATGACTAAACAATACCTTGTGTTTTCAGTGAGAACAGGAATGCTTTGAAGAGCAGGCTCATAACAACCGAGTCCAAGGCTTGACAGAATTCTGTTGTCATGGCAGTCAAAAATGGAGTGTCTTGTATGGATTGCTCTGGGAGTATTAAATAAATTAACTGCTTCTCTTAATGACAAGTTTTAGACATTTTGGTTCACCTTTCCATGGTTCGATGGGCATTTTAAATTGCTTGTGCATTTTCCAATTTGCATGGTATGATTTAAGATGCTCCTAAATTATTATTTTTTCAATATTTCAGATTTAAAATATTCACATCTATTCTACTGGGAGAGCACGCTGATTTCTGGGCCTCAGAAGGGTCTGCCTATAGCGTCTGTTGAGAATGCAGCAAGCTGCATTTATTTTGTTGGCAAACAGGGGCCATTATATCTTTTCCTTGGAATAAATTAGTTTTAGTGTCTTAGGTATTTTCAGAATGAAAATGGTTTAAATCTTTATTTTTTTCCTCATTTCATGAAGGATTCGTTAAAAATTGAGCATCCAAAGTAGGAAATGGGTTTAGAAAATGAATGTATTAACTTTTAAAAATATAATATTCTGGTCAAATTCTGTGAAACAATTGATCAGCATTATAGTAGCAGTTTTTTTGCTCACAGTAGGTGTTCTCTGAAATTGAGTGTTTGTACACTGTGGTGTTATGTATTTGTCTGTGCCTTTTGGGCATTTCACAATTGTGTTAGTTTGCTACTGTGCAATGCCATTGGTGGAACTTCACAGTCTGCACCTGCTGAATGGAAGAAGTTGCTGAACTAAAGATGTATTCTTGCATAGCATCAATGGTTTACGGTAAGTTCATTCTGAAGTTGGAGAATGACATGAATATTCTTCAGGTATCATTAGTGTCTGAAAAACTGTGCGGATTTTTAAACACCTTTTAAAAAATACATTTACACAGGTCTGTTCTTGGGTGTAATGATTGTCTCCCTAACTCCATTTGTTTTCTTTGTTGAAAAGTTTTCAGTTATTAATTTTGAAACCAAACAAAAATTAAAAAACATTGTTTTAGATTTTGTTACATTATGTTACATCTATTTTATACTCTGTTTTGTACTTTATATGCTTTTATGTAAAGTACTTAAAGATTTTCTTATATTGAGCTGTATATAAGAATACAATGAATAAATAAACTACTTTTTCCAGCGACATGGAAGGAAGGATGGATCTTACAATGCTGGGAGGAAGATACATCTGTTCATTTAGATGTAAGCCATTTGTTTAACGTTATACTGGAATGCAACGTTATACTAGGAACAGATCTGTACCCCCTGAAAATCTGTTCCAGATGCTGACTTTCTCTGTATCGCACTGGCATCTGTAAGTTCACACAACTGTCACTGCACAGTTTCCATTTCCAGTGTTGCAGATTTTTGAAACATACGTGGCCATGGCAAGCATTGGAACTGGCTTTTCATGGGTATAGCTCCTATGCCAGTTATTCAGTGTCATCTGATAATGTCACAGGGAGTGTTACCAGGGACCCTGAGTTTTTGGTGTGCACAAAGCAAGTGCCTGATTTCAAATCTTTTTAAAAAATGAGTAGATGCACAGATGCACTTCCACTTTTTTTTTTAAAAAAAGAGAGCAGTTAAAAACACAATTATGTATGAGGGGGCTAGGCAAAGGGGAGAAAGCAAACCAGCAATGGAAAAAGAAAAAGAAAAGGAAAAGACGAAGCACAAGAGAGAGAGAAGGGCCACCAAGAAGGGCACATGATTATCCCAAGCATGGAAAAAGAAGAAACACCAATCTGGGATAGGAAAATAGGAAAAATGGGAACTCTGTGTCACCATGGAGAAGGCATACATTACTGGTGTATATAACAAGCATGAAGCTTGTCCTAGTGTGGGATACATGAAAAACCTGAAGCTAACCTGCCATTACCTGTAGCAAGAAAAGTGGGTACAAAAGGGCTTTGCTGTATATTTCCCCCATGTGTCATATGAATTTCAGGGGTCAGATGCAGGGTCATACCACAGTATATTGGTGGTGTAGGACTAGGCAAGGAAAGACTAAAGTTTCAGCTTTCACATCTTGTTCTGTCACATTCTAAAGGACCGTGCAACTAAATCCGTATACTCAAGTGACTTTGGCCAGAGGCTCTTGAGAACAACCCTCATGTTACTTTTGGAATTCAGAAGGATGAAGAACCTGTTCTTACAACTGGATATAACTTTCTGGAATTTCAGCCCTTAGCATTTGTGTATATATAGGCATATTTGTGTTCTTCCGATATTTTTTTTTAAAATTCTGTATTGGTAGGGAACTTAAGTGTTAATAATTCTAATGAAAAGTGACATTAGAAGAGAAATGCTGATAGAAAGTTCATGTTTCATGTAAACCATTCCCATGTAACACAATTTGGTATTTGCTGATTAATTTACTCTTTGAACTGTCCTAATGTTGCCCCTAACAGTACATTAAAACAATAACAACAATAATCCTGTAATTAGAATTTGTTGGCACGCTTCTGCATTTTGTTTATTTGTTCGAGCATAAGCTGTGCTTGGAAGTTGATAAAACAGCTTGCAGTGAGAATTGGCAAGCAAGATGTTACAATCAAGGCCCATAGCACCATTTTTAGACTACAAAGATTAAATACCTAAAGACACTAATTTAAGAGATTGAAGCCATAGTCTTGTATATACTTGCTTGGGAGAAAAGTGTGGGACTTACCTCTGAGTAAACAAGCATTGAATTGTAACATTACAACATTTTATCCAAATGATGAATATGTTTGTCTCCTAAATTGCTAAATAACAAGCTTTTCTATCTTTAGAAAATGAATGATTGTTGGTTATCTATCCACATAGATGCCATTCAGTTGTAATTATAATGCAAGACAATGAAGCAAACTGGAGGGAAATTCCTGAAATCTGAGAATTGTATTCCTTCTGTCCTCTTGAATCATACAGAATGATGATGAGGTAAGAATATATGAATTATAGAAGACAGGATGTCTTGTTGTGAAACTTTTGTGAGTTGCTGCTGGTGAACATTCTCCCCAGTTTTTAAAAAAAATTGTAACAAGGGTTTTGAGATATGTTTCCATGACACTGATAAATTTTTATTTATTTATTTATTTTATTATTGGATTTTTATCCTGCCCTTCTAGACAGGAGTCTACTCAGGGCAGCTCACAATATATTACAAACAGATAAAATCAACAAATAAAGCTTCACCTAGGAAAGCATGCTTGGACATTTGCAGGTTTGGGAAGCAACTTTTCATGCATGGCCGTCTGGATTATGGGCAAACTCAGTATTTGATACTACTATGCTCTATATATCTCTTAATTTGGTACATATTTGATGTAGTGATAAATGGAGATTTCTTACAATGAGGGGATATAGAAATGCGGTATTTCAGGATCTGTACTTTTTCATGGACTTAGGTGTAAGAAACTAGTGGCCAAGTATTCTGGTGACACCAAATTATGATAGTAAAAACAATCCTGCAGAAGTCTCTTTAAACTATCTTCTTAAAGTGAGTGAATGAATGCAAAATGGCAAATGAAGTACAAAGAAGTGGCAAAATCTCTATTGAGTTTTTTTGCCAGCATAATGCAGTTGGCATAAATGTCATTGGCAAATTGCTACAGTTAAGAGACATTTGCTATTGTGCCATTGCCATGCGACTCGGCACACAACAACAAATGCCTACAATAAATTCTCCACTTGTGGCAATGTGCCAACAAGATTTACATCAATTGCATCACACCACTGAATGTTGCTAATATAATTTTGGTTATAGTAAGTGTAAAATGATGCATGCTGGTGAAGGGAAGTTTCTCCCATTTTTACTGATAGGTTCTTTGCTAGGAGAAAATAACAGGAAAGAGATCATGACATGTGGAACGAATGACCATCTGTGCAGCAGTTAGTGAAAGGCAAATTCTGTGTTTGGGATAATTAAGAAAGGGTTGAAAACAAAACTGCCAATATATATGGTATGTATATTTTTGTATACATGCAAACAGTGTGACTACACTTGGAATGCTGGATGCAATCCTGGTTGTGGTACCTGAAAATGAATATTTTATAGCTGGAAAAGGTGCAAAATGAACAACCCAAATGATTGGTGGGATGAAACAATTCTCCTATGAGGAAAGGTTATACCATTTTGTACCTAGTTTGAAGAGAGAAAAGTAAAGGGGCATAACTAAGTAAAATTGCATGGCGTGGAAGAAGAAGTTGGAAGATGTTTCTCCTTATGGCATAATATTTGATCCTAGATTATCCAATGAATATTAATAATTTACATTATGGAATTCACTCCTGCGGGATGTTGTCATGGCCATTAACTTAAAGGGGGATTTAACAAACTAATGGAAGGTAAGGCAATTAGTGTCTCACTGCCATCAGAGGCAGGATCTTGACACTCCTCCCCAGCCATCCCATCTCCTCCTCTCCTGAATATCCCCAAGGGCCCACCTCCTTCCAGGTCCTGATACAAGTAACTCAGGAGGCCACCCAGCAAGCAGCTCCCCCAGGGAACGTAGAGATGGGCCAAGGTGAGGGAGGCACATGGCCTTCATTTCGGCTTCCTGATTGACATAGAGCTATGAACAGCTGCTCCACAGCTTTCATTGCTCCATGTTTCATCCCTTTTCCCATAGTGCCTATGGCCTGGGTCCCAGGCACCCCACAGAGCCTTGGTGGACAGTTTTGGGAATGCCTGCAGTATGGATCTTCTCTTCTCTTCTCTCTCTCTCTCTCTCTCTCTCTCTCACACACACACACACACACACACACACAGACACAGACACACACACACACACACACAACAATGAGAACCAGACACAACTGAAACTGCCTGTGCTTAGGTTTCAGTTTTGTTTTGCTTTATTTTTGTACTGAAATGAAATCATTGTCAAGTATGCTTTTCCCGGTAAATTGGACTCCCTCCCCGCCCCCCACTTTTACGGGGGCGATCACTTTACTCAAATACATTTCATTCCTTATTTATATGAATTTCTTCAGTTCTTCATAACCTGCACACATTTGCATTTGAATACAATAAAAATTTGAAGCCAAACTGTATGTTACAGGTGCAACTTAAGTTGGAGTGCCATGCATGATTTGTGAGGTCAGTGAATACTGTACTGTACAGTTGGACTTACAGTTTGGTGGAATGAACAGTAAGAATGTAGCCATGTGATGAAGCCCACAAGTGGCTTTTTTAGGATGGAGAATGTGACAATGTGCACTGTACACTGCTGTGGGTTTTTTTAAAACTGTATGGCATAGAGTTATGGCATTTAACACTGGCTATTGTAAAAAAGGCAGAACAATTTGAGTTGTGGATTGATCTCAGGAAGTGAAAAATTTCTTGACTCAGGGAACTACAGTAACTAGTAGAGGACTACTGAAGTGAATGAATAAAAACCAAGAAATAATAAAACACATGAAATTCAGAATGATAAAATACTTTGGTCACATAAGACCATGAGAAACAAAAAATACAGTACAGTCAGAACAGCTATGATAATGTCCATGGAACAAGGAATACAAACAAGAATAAAGATTAAAATAACTAATTTTTAAATTTCATATTGCAGCTCTGATTTTAAGCACGTTAGGTCCTTAGACTGATGATGATGTTGACTGACATGTTAATAGCATAATAAAAATAGTATCTTTTGCCTTAAGTAAATGGGTTTGTAAATCTGATCTGTTAAAAATATACAGTATTACAAAGCCAATATCAATATTACAGAGTCAGTATCGGATAACAAAACCGGACTTAAAAATCCATCTGTAAAGGTTTGAATTTTTCATGTCTCAAGTATTAAAAAAATTTAGGGGAGTATAAAAATTCAACCCTGAAAATAATAAATTAGCTAATATTTCCTCTTTCAAAATATATCTTTCTATATATATATATATATAAAATATATATGTGGGGTCATGATTTTGATCACATTTTTCAAAATCATTATTTACTTGTTTCTTCCTGAATGTTTATTTAGCTCTGTAAAGCAGACCTCCAAGTGTTCTGAATAGAGCACCTCGGACTGACTGAATTTTATTAATAATAAATACTTTAGGTCATTGTCATTTAGACCAAGAACTAGGAGGTTTAATGTGTATAAAGGGACAGGAGCAATCTGTGGATTTAACTGTAAGAAACAGTCCTCTGAAATAAGGAGCTCTTTTAGTTAGAACAGAATATGCTGGCAAATCATTTTTTTATTTATATAACTCATCTCAGGTGACTATATTGGCTACTGTGTCTGACTTCTAACAGGCTGGTTGGCCTGCTTTGGCTGTATGATTCCTTTGAAGAGTTAATTTCATCTGAAATGCTGTATCCTAAGTAACAGTGGCACTCAGTTAAATCTTACAGAAGACTGTGGCAAAAAACTCACCCTTACATCAGGGAAGGTTGTTGGTAAGAGGTCATTTTGCCGAGTGCTAGTTGCCTGAATTGGTGGGTTTATTGAGCTATCAGAGTTGGTCTTCTAGTCGATTTTTTTTTTGTACAAGAGAGCCGTTGGGTTATTCCCCGGCCCCAGTCCTGGGTTCCCTGAGAATCCTCAGTTTTTGCTGGTTATCCTTCTCTAGTCAGCCTGATCATTGGCCTTTCTGTTTCTTTCCAAGGTCAGAAAAGTTTATACTGGAGAAACATAATAGATCATGAGAAAAATGAGAATGCAGAAGGCTGAATTGTTTTTCATCAGTTTCTGGTTGGCTGTGGCCTTGGAGTTATTTATTGCATTTTTTATGATTCATCATATGCCTAGTAACTGAGAAAGCATTTCTCTTTTGCTAAAATGCTGAAATTTATGGATGAATAATATTCAGTACTCACCACTCGTCTGTTTTGATTACAGCTTGACTGTGCCTGTTTTGTTTTGCATGTTTATTGACCTAACATCTTGATTCTTGATACATTTTTGTAGCAGGACTTAAATGGCTAGGGGAACTCTGTGTAAATCATGAGAGTGATGAAATTTAATGCTTTTGTAGGATGCAGTGTAGTAAAATGTAATACAGATTAATTGACAAGATTATTGTTAAAAGAAAAAAAGTGAGTTTCCTTAAAGGAAAATGGAGCCCACTATGACTCTCCTACAACAAATTGCTGGTGTATATTCCCCCTTTAGAATGTTAGTGTTATATTTTTGCTTTATTGTAAATGAGTTGCAATTCCAGTTGTGGTGTGCAGAACCTGGTTTGGGTGGTATGCTGAGCAGGATGAATCTATCAATAGCTGGGATATTTTGGAACCAGGTTCATGAAAACTTTCAGTTTTCATTCTGTTTCTGACCAGCAGGTAAAAATTCCCCACTGCGATTCTTGTGGTCTGCGCATATGTGCACAGCATGTGTGAATCACAGTGAGGACTTTGTTGACTAGAAACAGACTGAAAGCTAAGTAATTTCTTATGATAAGCAAGAGGATTTCAGCCTTTACTTTTCAGATTATGCCTAGCTGCCGTCTTAATGTGCTGATTCAACTATGTTATACACTCCAGTGTTTTGGTTAATTGTTCTATTCTGGCTCCTTATATACCAGTGAGGAACTAAGATTGAACCAATGAAAGCTCGTTACTATGGCCTGCATAGTTGGTTTCCTGGAAAGCACCTAGCTGCAAAACAATGATGAAATCAGGATTTTCTTCAAAAGTTTTGCACATTTTAAAAAACCTTCCTGTTTGCTTCAACAAAAACTAAGGCTGCATGTCTGTGTGCTGCTTAGCCTGTTGTTCAGAGTGAATGGGCAACTTTCATGTCTCTAATGTGGTTCTGTATCTTTAAATAGTTTAGACAGCCTGTCAAATGGAGAACACCGCTGGCAGCCCATCAAATGAAGGGCTGTCTTTCCTAAAAGAGGGCATGTGGTCACCCTTTTTGAGTAAGGAGGAATATCGTCAACACACTGGTGTATGAAGTGGTTCTAGGCATGTTTCATATTAC